CATGTACCATCCGTTTCTTCAAAAGGCAGTTCCTGCTCTGTCATGTCCTTGCACAGGAGCTTATTTTAAAAAGTAAATGGGAATGAAGGGTTTGACTGGACAAGGCTGCTGCCACAGGTAGAAGACCCTATTGTGTGTGGTCAGTGAAGTGGTTAAACACAAACAGGGGCCTCAACTGGATCCTTCAGCATCTAGGTAGACACACAGAATGCATCATACTCAGATTTATCTAAACCTCCTTCTCTAGTTCCTGTTATGAAAGTAACTGCTCGAGGCTTTTTCATCGTGAAAAGCACTGCAGGCTTATTTTTTTGATTATTCAAAGCAATTTATTTCATTTTAGAAACAAAACAATAACTTTCTGCATGTTTGTCTATTTTTTGCTGACTGTGAATGACTCCGGAACATGCAGTGCACTCCCTGTTTTTTAAGGGGATCAATATCAGTTTTGCCTGTGGGCTGGAAGACTATTTTCAGGATGATAACATGGGTATAAACCAGAAAATAATTTCCCATTGTGAATATAAACAAGTACAAGAAAAAAACATTCATCCCTGGCATCCCTTCTCCCACTCAAAAAAGTGTTCCTATTCTGTTGATTTAGGGGAAGGAAAAATATCTCTGGGCTTGCCTGTCCTCAATATTAGTATGACAAATGTAATATCCATGAGGAACAGAGTGTGAAATACACTGGGCATTGTCCTATTAAATTTTGTTTTCCACTGCCACTAAAGGCTTGAATGCCCTTGGTTCATTGCTCAAACTATTCTTTTGATTTGGTTTTGTGGGGGCTATAGAAAACAATACTTAAAATGGGCAGAAATCGAGGGAGAGTGTTCTCACTGTATTAACCAGAAATGGAGACCACATAAGAATTGTCACTTCTTATAGCAGAAATTTGAGGATCAAAAGAGTCTTTTTTTTTCCCCTCCAGATATCAATGAGAGGAAGGGTCACTACTTCAAATCTTTACAACAAAGCTGCTAAGGAAATGCTTCTGAAAATATCTTTACATTGAAAGGAAAGAAGTGAGAAGACTTGATTTTCACTTTTATTTTTTTTTTTTTGGTAACAACTCTAGGGTGAAATTCTGCCCTTGTTAAAATCAATGAACATTTGCTCACTGATTTCAACAGATCTCCACTTCTGATATACATAATCTCATTATAAACTGCTGTCTTTTGCAGCAAGGAATTTGACAAGGCTGGACATAGCACCAGTGGCTGAAGGGAGACGTGATCAGAGATGTAAGTTAAGAAGTTCACCAATTCCCAGGTCTCCAAGGGTACTTTTGTACCTTGTCCTTTGTGCTGTCTGGAGCTTGGAAAGCTCAGATCCCTACCAGACCCATCCCACATGCAGTGTGTGAAAGGAGGCCACACAATCTGGTCATTTCCTTCAAACCAGTCACACTTCCATAAGGTAAGCAGCCAAATAAACGGGAACCTAAAATAAAACAGCACAACTTTCTAAGAAAAACCATCAGGTTTTATATTTTTTATGTTATTCTTAGACACCCTAAATTTATATTTGCCTGCCTAAATCATTCACTTAAATCACATCTCTGTTCATATGCATTTGAACCAGATGATGATTTAGATGCCTTTTAATGACTTAGGTGACAAAACTTTTTGAAATAAGTTCTCAGGTTTAAAGAACAGCTTATAGCTGAATATGAGAAAAAAAAGATTTAAAAAGCTGACAAATGCATCCTGATACTCAATCTAAAACTTTGCATTGGAAACTCATAAAAAAAAGGCCATGATTCTGACACAAAGGAAACACTTTCTCTTCCAAGGAAGTGGGAGTAAGCAAAAGGAAGAAACCACCTCTAACCAGGCATCTATTACAGCTATTTGGGAAAACCATGCAGCTTGTATTACACAGCATGAATTAGAGACTTGACACTTATTTTCTTTAACATGATTCTTTCCATACCTTTGCTTTCTGTTACCACTAACGGATTCCCTTACAAGTCGGTCATTTCCAACCAAAATGTTTCTATGACTCCCAGAGCTAACCTGGCACCCATTACTACGTGGAGGTTTCAGACACTTGCTGTGCATAGCAGTTATGATGGCTGGACTGTTTCAGAAGGGTTCAGATGCACTGCTCAGGGGTAGGTATAGAAAATGTCACACAAGTCCTTGTATTCAGCCAGGACCGGAGCCTGCAGCTGAGATGTGTGCCACAGCAACCTGCCACAGAAACGAGGTCTGGAGAATTACAATTAAATTTGGAATGACAATAAGCTCTCATTCTTGGTCAGTGCCTTGAAAGAATGACTGGTCTTGTGGACTAGCTAGAGCCCAAAGCAGCTGGTATAATAAATGTTACCACTCTGCAGTAAGAATGATAAATGATTTCACTAGTTTATGCTTCACCCTATTCCAAGGTCACCGGATCCTTCTCAGCAAAATCTCCGTACGGATTGTTGCCGCAAGCATAAAGCGAGCTCAGCAATAAAGTACTCGGCCACATTTTACTCTGCTGTGGCTGTGCTCCCTTGAACTGGCTTCCAGAGCCACATCTGCAATGTCATCTACAGCATTCCACAGCACAGTGCAGGGCACAGGGTGAGAAACTGCACCATAGTTAGGTACAGCTTAATTCCCATGCTTTGCTTAAAACAATCCCAAGGAATCTGAGAACGTGTCGCTCTAAACCAAACTGCTCTGAAGGCGAGATTTCCAGAGGTAGTTCAGGATCTATTTCATCATATTTCACTATCTACATATGCAAATAATCAACTGGTGGGATTTTCAGAAGTGTCTAGAGCACTTCACCTACTTTTGAAAATCTAGCCCCAGCTTCCTTTCATATTGAAATCCAGAGGAATTTGTAGTGGGATGCTAACTTGCTTTTTAACATGGTTTTAAAATAACCTGTGCTTTCTAAGGTGGCAGTTAGAAGCTGGCATAATTTTACTACTTTGAAGTAAAAATTTGACTGCCTTGTCTTTAAAACAATGCAAGTTCCTTACTAGCCCATTATTCATGTATATTTTATTTTCAGTTCCTTTTAATTTACCATACAGGCCAGATGGAGAACTGAAGAAGAGGTAAAGAAGCAAACGTACCAGGTCCCTTCATGACAAAACTTACACCACCATGACAATATAAGTTAATCATCATGGAAGTCTGGTCACACAACCCATAACATGTTTTATTTATACTTTAATCTTACATTCTTTCTCAGCTAGAAAGAGCAGTTGAAAATATACTGTGGAAATCAATTGACAGTAGCAGAATAAAAGGAAATGAATGACGTGACCTAAAAAATCTTCACTATCTATCTCTAGTTTCCATCCTGTAGGAGTTTTCCACAGCAGTTAGGAAGGTTCTCCAATGCCCAGCTGCAGCTCAACACTTCTGTAGTGCTACAGTTTGGGAGCATATTTCAGGTTACACAAATTATTATTGGCAGAGAACGAAATATACAGATTCAACAAGTTCTCTCCAGAAACATAACTCACAGTACAATTGATTGAATCTGAAAATATCTCCAAGGACTTATTCAGTCATCCCTAGCTGAAATCTTTGGGTTCATTGAGGATCTACACCACAAACAATAAGTTCCTGTCACCAGATATTTGAGATTCTGCTTAAATGTCAGGTGAAGATGTGAGAAGTTGCCCTGCTGGTGCAACTCCCCTAGGTTTATAAATTTCAGGCAAACTCTGTAGACTTGACCAAGGTATTTTTTATCCCTTGTTACAGAAAAAATAGCACATAACTAGTTACACTCACTCTTACTGTGTGGTTTTGAAACAAAACACCCTCAAATTCATTCACATTTCCCAAATCAACAGACCATCCAGAAGCATATTTGTGAGATGAGCAGGTTCACCATCAATGGAAAATTATCTTTGACAGTACATTTTCCAGTATTCTGTCATGGATAAGTTACAAGAGTTACACACAAATTTCATTTATTGAGAGGACATTGGTCCTCTCATTGCAAGAATACAGAAGAAAATTTGACTGCACTTAACTTTCAAAATCAAAATACTGTACATAAACTTTGTATTATCATTAATTTAGATGCTTATTATCTTAGAAATACAAATCCATGTTCACCACTCAGAACAGCATTATCTGAGGTGACATCCATTACTCATGACTTGTACTCTTCAAAATCATTTAATGTAAATTTACCACTTTCTAGACACTAAAATTTCATACTAAGTACAGCAGAAACTGTTTCCAAACTAATTAACGGCAATGAAAAGCAAGTGCTACAATCAGCACATGGTTTCTTACCACATTCATCTGATAATCACCACAAAGATCATCTTTTTGTATGCATTTTGAAGGTGAACTGGGAAAGTAGCCACTTCTATATCTACATCTTCACTATCATAGTCTGGACTTAAAGACATGAAGAAGCCCACTTTCAGATAATACTGCTATGCTGAAGTCTCTCTTCTTTCATCCAAATGATCCTTATCCTACTTAGAACTAATAAAGCTATGAAAGGCAAATCTTATCTCTTTAATAATAATTTCTTTGCAATATACTCTTCATAATAAGGAGAAATTACATACAGCACAGCAGATGAAAGCAGAAGTCCGCAGATGAGATTTACAATATATTCCAAATGCCTTTCTGTGTGTCAGCACACTCTTTATTGAAAAGGTTTCCATCATTTCCATTGTGCTGATAAAGTAGATTTTTTTTTTTTTAATGATAAATGGAAAACTTTTAGGGAACGATATGCAGTGTCATGTCTCTATCCATGGCTGAAGGATATAAACATCTACTTACTGTTTGAAATGACTCAATTAAAAAACCTAGTGCATAAAATGACTCAGTCAAGTTACTCATTTATCTGCTTTTATGTGGATTCCAATTACAGTCATAACAGTTACAAGTTGCGACATAATTGCAGCAGACTTCCGACTTCCCAAAGCAGCTATGTTGGGATTTAGGTTGTTCTCTTTGATTTCCAAAAGGGATGAGGGGCAGGATGGGTTATGGACAAGAGGGAAGCTGAGGTACCTGGTCGAGTTTCCAGTGGAACTCGGCGGGGCGGAAGGTGTCAGCCTGGTCGAAGTCCTTGCGCAGCAGAAACACCAGCCGGCAGTTGTGCACGTACAGGGCGTAGTGGTGGCGGTTCATCTCTGAAAGGAGGGACCAAGAAGGTCAGTCATCTGAATTAGCATCAACACTTTTGTTTAGGTCAATGTGTTTGAAAGCAATCTACACCTAAAAGAGAAAACCCAACCAAATAAATAAGTAAATAAATAGAATCAAAAGCAAACAAAAGAATTGACTTTTCTGAATATCATGGATCATTATGGTTTCAGGGAAGCCACACAGAGCAAGCATCTTCCTGAAACATGTTGTATTAGTTTTGTTGAGGGAAATGTTTATGTCCAAATTAATAAATAAAATCCAAACCAATATTTAGTCTAACTAGTTTCAATGAAGAATTAGAACTGTTTCCCAATCTAAACAAAACAAACAAACAAAAAAAAAAAAAAAAAAAAAAAAAACCCCGCCAAAAAAAAAAAAAAAAAAAAAAAGAAAAAAAACCCAAACCAACCTAACTCCATTATTCGATCAACCAGTTTCTATAAAATCTATATTTCGTTCTCTGCCAATAATAATTTGTGTAACCTGAAATATGCTCCCAAACTGTATAATGCTTGAAACTTAGTCATCAGTCCCCTCAATAAGCTGTTAAGTCAGCAATGCTTAGAGTGGCACCATTTGATCTCATTAAGTGTTTTTTCAGACCAAATTAAATGAGGAGAGATGGCAACACTATTGTTTTTATTGAAAACAAGATTTTTTCAAAAGACAGACTCACCTGTCTTGTCAGAGTTGCAGAGAATAGTCTCTTTCTCAGCTCTTAATCCTGGGCTAGGTCCGTGTTTCATCCAGAGAGTGATAGTGAATTGATCAGTTAAATTCTTTGGGACTATTCCATCTGGGATTTTTGCTCCTTGCTTTCCATCAAATTTAAAAATCATGTCGTTGTTATCCACGAGAAGCCCAGCTGTCCAGTTAGTTGTTGCACTGGGAGATGGTAACAGGTCAATGGCACCTGAGGAAGCTCCTGCAAATGATATGTGATGAATAATATGATGAGAGGCTGATAAAAAAAGATGTGAAGATTAATTTAATATAAGCCAGGGTTCTGAATCATACTCTTTATATTATGTTTTACTTTTTAATGAGCCTTCCTTACAGAAGCAACAGAAATTGCTTACACCATGCTGTATAATCAAAGGAAAAACCACTACCAACCTCAACAGGTTCTACTTTATCTGCCCATGTTTTTATGGAGATTTTGGAACCTCTTCCTGTTAGTGTGTGTTAATCGTGCCCCAAGAACAATTCCTGGATTATGTGTTTGGGAGATTTAGCTGGAAGAATAAATCCAAGCAGCATTCCAAGCTGCTCAGCCGTGTACAGACATGGCCTCAGAGCACTACAAACAGGATGCATCTGCAGGGGTTCCCAGGGAAGTCCCATCATGCTACTGGATTGGTGCTCTTCCACAATGTAGAGGCTGCTGCCCTTTTCTTCTAAAATGCTTCCAGAGTGATGCAGGAGCCACTGCACTAAGCAGATTTTAGACTGAGACCCCTGAGGCACCCCTTACATATTAAAATGTTTTTTTTTTCACAAGCAGCTTACAGAGTTGGTCCCGCTTTCTCTCCTCAGTCTGCACGTTCCTGCTGTAAACTTTGTGCCAGGATAAACACATCCTGATACTGTTTGCTGAACTGCACCAGACTTTTACCTGGAAGTTTATCATCCAAATAAACCCAAATCCAAATTATTACTTTTCAACCAGAGCAACAACTTTCTTTGAGCCTCCTGCAAAGCGATGCAATGCAGGATAAAGGAGAGGGCAGCACCTACCCTCTTTGCTGGCCCATGGACTTGTATCCTATATTCAGAGTTTCTATATTTCAATTTCCCATCTGCCATATGTGAGAATTATTTTCCTATTATTTTCTAATTGATCTACATTTACAGGGAAAGAAGAAAGCACTGAAGCCACCTTTCCACCATATTCTAGGCTCCTTAACTGCTTATGTTTTTTTAGTGAGATTTATTCTGGTTATGTTTTTGCAGTCCAAATTGTGCCTTATATATTCTTTTGTCTTTATACATTCTTTATTTTTTATTACTGTTGGATGACAAGGTGAAAAAATGCTTACTAAAATGCTTTGAGGCACAACACTAATAACTTCTTCACTTTGAAATGACTCAAGCATAATTTAATCATTTAAACTGCCCACCTTGACCGTCAAAGCAAGTACAAATCACTGGGTTACTGAAGAGTAGACTCGAACCATCAGTCATACAAAAAAAAAAATAAATAATGCACTGTCCTTAGCATCTGAATTCTCTAGATTTCCAACAGATGAATGAAGAAATGAGCACAGCATTTATAAACTGGGCCCTTAATTACAGAGAGACAATCTTGCATTTTATATAGCACAGATGAATGTTTGTCTGTAATTGCTCAGTTCTGCAGTCTCTGCAATCACACGGTGCTTTACTGGTAGAAAAAAAAAAAAATCAAAGTTTTCCTTTTCAAAGAATTTATTCATCCAACCATTAGATACAATAAGGTCATTTCTGGGAGAAAAGTGATTTGCAGAAATAATTTAACCTGCTTTCATAAGAGTTCTCTCTACATTAAGGATGGTAATAAACACTAAATACCAAAGTGTAAGCCAGTCCAAATGCAGTTCTGATGTCAAATTCATTGTCATTTACAACCCTTTTATCAAAGTCCAATTACAAGTTTCTATCCTGCCCGTGCTTCTCTATGAAGTTATGGAAACCTTGGCAGACTTGCTGAAAGGCTTTTGAGCAGCCTGGCTTTCACCAGCTTAGGCCTACACATGATGCAGACAATGAATTAAGATTGGACTAGTATTGGACAACATCTAGCTTATTCAGGAGAAAAAGAGACATACTTGAAATCCTCTTTTCTACTGCTTCAGTGTCAGCAGGTGAGGTAGTCAAGCCATGCTCTGCAAAGCTGAACTCCATAGACTTTGCACAGCTTTCCTCAGCTAAGGAATTCTGCACCAGCAGGTGGTGCATTCTATCACTTAGAATGATAATACTGCTGGATACAGTTGCTGTTAGTGTTTGATGTCAGTGTAATCATGTGGTGGTTTTGACCTCGTACATAGTGATCTGCTCTGAATGCTTGTACCAGCTGCACTTCAGGTCTCTAGCAGACGTAAAGCAATGCTCTCTTTGCTGCCAATGCAGGTTCTCAGAGGAGGAATAAGTACTTGACTCTAGCTATAACATATTATTTTTATTAAAATGATAGTATGTAATGAAATCAAGCCCCCAGTAGGTCACCTAGCCTTGCTCAGCCTCTCAGTTTTAATGTTATTAACATGATGAAGATGCATGCTGTTGGCAGATGGGTTTTCTCCCACATTTCTAGAGCGTCAGTCAGTTGGATAAAGATACAGTATTAAAATCATGATTGTTTTTGTAACCTTAACTAAGCAATGAAAATATTCAGATGAGAATGCTATTACTCCCACTCACCTTTACCTCTCACTTTCTCAGTCTCCACAGGTAATTGGTAATTGCAAACACAAACTGTTTTTCCCTGATAATTACCTTAATAATTTTTAATATTTTAGTAACACTAGCTGAAAATTTTAATTTACAAAATTATTTCTTAAAGGTTAGCCTGTTGATCTTAACATATCTGCAACACTGTTGTGTTGTGTCCCAGAGCACCCCAAACCAAAATCCATTCATTTAAATGGGGAAAAAAAAAAATTGTCCATTTGCTACTGTAGGTCAGACAGGTAAAGAGACACTCTGGAGCAGATGGGACTTGATGTTCCACAACATCAGGGCTTCAGATGAGGACTCTAAGAAGACAGGATTTTAGAGGAGGGAGACAGCAGATCTCAAAAGTCAAAAGAAAAGCAGCTTAATGTGTGGCCATTGCTTTGCCATACACATAATCCTAAAGTTACAAAACTACAGTAGTATTCTCAAATATTTAATCTACCTTTCAAAATTAATTTGTATCTTGACCAAGTTATCAAAAAAGGAGGAAAAGGAAAGAAAATCATTAGGAAACCTTTCACCACCAAGATACTTCTTTTCTGAAATTCCTGTTTCTTAAATGATTGCCCCAAATATGCCTTTATTTTTTGTTTGTTTTTACTCAGACACAGTACTTAGCAGTGGAACAGACAGCTGAGTCAGGAAGACTGAAACACGAGATGGAGATTCAATTCTCATCACATCCTGTGGTCTTCCTGTGATGGCAAATCTATACCAGAAATCTCACTACACTGTCACACCAGTACTAGTAGCAGAGGGAAGAAAGAGTGAGAAGGAGGTACAATGAGCAAGGAGAAAAACTAGAGAAGGGAAGGGGAGCAGGGGAGAAAAAAAACAAAAGTAAACCATGGTGAAGATGTGAAAAAGAATGAAAACAAAATGCAGAATGGAGCACCAGTCAAACATTAACACTCCTTTCATCTTCGTTGCTAAAATCAAAAATGAACAAAACGAGCAAAATTCACATCCCACATGCTTATAAGGCCACAAGGAACTGGTGCTTTATTTGGAAAAATATTATTACTGAACCAACAGAAAGCCACACCCCTACCGCATAATTTCTGCAGAGATTTTTCTGAGTAGGTTTCACGATCACAGCCCTTTCCAATGTAGTTGGTCTGTAGCTCAATGGTGGTGTGGATTGAGGAAACTGGCCCATCACATGTTTCTAGACGAATGCTGGGAAACAAAGGTATGCTGCCAGAACCAGGCCTGTATTCAATCCGTTTGTTCCAGTCTGGAAAAAAAACAAACCAACAAAAAGAACCAAGAATGATTAAAAAAGGGGAGTCATATAATTTTAAATGACATATTGTTCTCTTAGACCACTGTCAAATATTGAAAACAAAGGTTTGGACTTAGCATCAATAAGTTACTGCCCTAAAAAAAATGGATTTTGGCCCTCTTTGTGAAAGAGTGAAACAATACCACTGCTGCTAGAGTCGTACAAGCACAGGGCACATACCAGACAAGAAGTGTGGATCTCCAATGTCCATGTCCCTGTGACAGACTACAAGCCAGCTCTGTAGGGCTGGGGCTGTCTGCTGCGCTGCCTTCAGTCAGCTTTCACAGTTTTGTGATACAGAACAAATATCTCCAAGGACCAGGCTGTACACATCAGTCTTGCTGGACTGTGACCAAAAGCTAACAGAACACATCTGTAGTGCCACTCCTTGCCTTCAAATGTCTTACTAATTTGGTGAAGTATTAATGACAGGAAGCTAGAGCTGAGAGGACTACTCACACTCCAGCCAGATCTGACTAAGCTGTGGCTTTGTTTGCTCATGCAGGTGTCTCACAGCCCACAACATTTAAGGAATCACCTGCCTTAGCCAGCCACCTGGCCATGCCCAACATTCCTTTGTGCTGCTCAACTGAAGCATTTCATTTTAAAAATCCACTTAATTCTGATGTTTGCAGCCTGCTTCAGAGAAAACCCAAACAAGCAGCATTAATGAAAAACATGTATTTCAGCTATCTTTACAGTTTGCATTTTCATAGAATTGCAGAATGGTTTGTGTTGGAAAAGAATGACTTTGTCCAATGGCTCCACCATGGGCAGCAATACCTTTCACTAGATCAGGCTGCTCAAAGCCCCGTCCAGCCTGACCTGGAATACTTCCAGGAATGGGGCATCTACCACCTCTGATTTTTTTTTTTTTTTTTAGGCCAAGTTAAAAGAGGACTCGATAAATTGAAAAATTCTAAGTAAGTCCTGGAAGTCAATGAAACTTCTTACAGCAATGAGCAGAGACATATTTTCTAAATATCAATGGAAAGAACAGTAATAAAATATATACATATATATGCATTTAGTAGTTGAAGGAGTTAGGTGTTTTTCAACAGACCTCATTATCAGAAAGTTTGAAAAAAGATGCTCTCTCCCACCATCTTAAACTGGATTAAAAATTTTAAAGAAAATCTGGAAGCCCATGTAAAAATTTTGACATGTAGAGCAATTGTGAATCCCGAGTCCAGACAAAAGAGACAGGATGCCAAAAGTCACTGGTCTGCATTTGAAAATTCTGATTTTCCTCATGAATTTTAATCCAAATGGTAATCATGTAGCATTTTGTCCTCAAGAAGAATCTGAGACTCATGGAATATTCTGAAGGCATCTTTAGTATCTATTTTTACTAAAATCTTCAGGACTTGTACATCAGTGACTAAAAGACGACTATGACTACTTTATTGCTTGTGCACACATCAGCTGAGTTGCTATTTCAGTAGTAATTTTCAGGGAATAATATTCAGCCCATTCATTCCATATTAAGCTAGATTTGATCTGCAATACCGCATAATTTGTCTGCAACTGTCAACTTAAACAGTTCCCTTAGAATTTCAAGTATCATATTAGGCACATCATTACAATAACAGATTTCTTTTCCCTATCCATTCCAGAAACTTGAGGTTAATGTTTTTCCAATCAAACAAGAACAGCAAATTCTTTCAGATACTTAAGGTAAAAATAAAACAGTTTGATGTTTTGTATTCAAGCTAGTAATATATGGATTATTGCTCATTATAGTCTGTTATTCACCAGTCAAAACATTATATTCCTCTACCCAAAAGGAAAAACAAAGAGTCTCATATATATATGAAACATTTCTAACTATCTCAGCAGCTTTGAGGTTTCAGCCACATTTTCATTTCTCAGTTATATCAAATTAACTGGCACTCATGCAAGATATTCATTAGTGTATGTGAGATGTGACTGAATTATTAACTGGAACATATCTGCAACTGCACACTCGCCTCCAGTTATATGAAGAATGTCTTATAAAAAACATGCTATATAAAATGTCACTACTCACAAGGAAGAATAATGGAAGACCTCTGTTTTCTGCCACAAGAGCTGGAAGAGGTGTTTTGTTTCACAGTATTACCTTTCAGCTTGGTAGGAACAGTAATTTGTACCCAGAGATCATAAACTCTGAATGTTCTAAATCACTCACCTTTATCTTGGCTCTAAATTGTAAAACATCAACTAGACTTGAACTAGTGTCTTTGTACTTTGGTGCCCTGCAGCATCACACAGTACTCCTCATCCCAAATCCCACTAGCACTTCTTTCACTGATTAGTGCAGACTTAGGAAGTCTGCCAAGGAGTGCCTTTCCATGCAGAAGGTGTCCCCAGGCAGACACGAGGCAATACCTGTGTACGAGACACCCCTGTGAGAGCAGGACAGTTCTTAAAGGTAGCAATACTTCTTAATAAATGGCTTATTTATACAGTGTCTGTCCCTGCAGTATCTCAGCACCCTGAAGATGTTGAAGCTGAGGCCAGCACCCTCTGTATCTCACCATCAATAAAGTCAGTAACGTTGGCAAGTGCACAGAGATACAACAAGCAACACGAAGTAGTGCCAGTGTGAAGAGCTGATGAGAAAAACCCAAGTCTTTCATTCAGTTTTGAATGTGGTGAAGACTGTTGTGTAATTGCTAGATTAGCTAAACTGAACCAGCTTGCCTCCTCCTTTGACACACAATTAGCAGGCGACAGCACCACGCTGCAGTGCAAACTTAGAAAAGGAAGCCCTGTGTCCCCAGTAGAAGGGGAGGACTACTCCAATGGGAAAAGTTTGAATAAAACTAGCCCTGTTTAGTCCTGCAGAAGACTGCCTTTGTTTAGATTTTTAATTTGACAGGCTTTTGCTTGCCACCTGTGGTATAAAGCCCTTCAGACATAAAACAGCCTCAGCTGGATTATACCTACAGTGTAACAACATTAGAGTGTAAGTATCATTATGTCACGTTAGTGATTCAGATTTTACCTGAATTATAAAACAACTATGAAAACTTGGATCTCGATCTCTGAGGTACTCAGACTATTCCAAGATCAAAATGCATCAAACTTCAGTGACAGTTTGAGCCTTTAAAAGTAAATCCCAATACACTAAATAAATTTTAACAGAAGGACAACGTAAAGACTTTCACTGAACTCTACACTTAACTGTTTTGTACATGACCCTCTTTCCTTGTGATGCATGTATTATATTTGAATTCATTTCTGAGGCTTGATGACACTAATCTGACTTTTCCTTGGTGGAATATGGCACTCACATGTGCAGAGGCATGACTCCATTCCTGCCTCCTCCTGTATGTGTGTGGTCATAAACTTTGATTCCACCTCACGACATTAAAAGTGATGGTGAGGTAATGAAAGACAGTTGCAACACTACTCTTACTCTGCCAGTGAAATGCAAAACTTCTCTCATGTTGGACTGAACATGTGCATCTTGGCAGCTAAACGTAAGATCAAATTTATGTAGTGCTATTAGTGAGTCTCTGCAGGATCTCTACATGATAGCTGGAACATGAGGCTCCCAGAGAAATGTAACTGGTAGATCTTCTGCTTCCTCTACGGCATCTTTGCATCTGTCTTATCAGTGTAGGATGGATACTTGGCTAAATTATTCTGCTTCTTTTCTGTTTTGTTTTCTTTTTTAAAGATAAGCACTTCACAACTTTGCTGAAGTATTTTTTTATTAAACATTTTCCTCTCTATTAAGTTGAAAATCCTAAACAGTCTAGAATAAAAAAAAAAATATCAATATATACAAACCACTTCAAACAAGATCAGAAATGTCTCTGTAGTTTGCCAGAAGTACACTTATTTTCATGATTTATGAAACTCCTTGTATCTTAAAAGCAGCTGTCAGGCAGCTCTAGATGCTGTACAGTGATATTTGGAAGAGCAGTGCACTGTTGTTGCAAAACTACAATTTTCTTTCAACACCATGACTTTACTGGAAAGTGCACGTTGCCAGAATATCAGAGGCTGCAGCCACCTCAGTCCATGCCTGCTGCACAGCTCGGCACTCCCCACGTGCCAAAGAACAGTGCCCATCAGGTGTTTCAAAGAGGTACACACTTTGGTACTTGAATTTCTACTCTGAACTACAGATGAAGGAATTTTTAGTGAAACGGAGGGTAACAGTTGCTGCATCATTTCTCTTGGGCAGCATTCTCTTTTTATGTATGGACTTATAAATTGTGCCAATCTAAAAAAAAACCCACAACATTTCAAACTATTTTAATTTCCCATTTGGAAGAAAAACACAAAACCCCAAGGCATACAAAGCAATGACCTTACCTATTCTGCTCTTCTGTTTCCTGATTAACCCTCCTCAAAGTGTAAAAAAGGAAAATTTTTACCTGCAAACTAGGGTACCTCAGCCTTGCAACAGAGCTTTCAAGAAATTCTGAATGTTTCTTGACATATGTTACAGGTGAACAAAACTAAGTTAACATTATTACTTCAATGTTAATTACTTTAATGTTAAAAGTATATATTTAATGTTAAAATGGATCATTTGCTATGCTTTGTCAACTCAGAAGGCAAGTCAGAGAAAAGACTGGTAGTGTGCATACACCTGGCCCATTCTGAAATACCTTTGTTTCTGCAAAGATCCTAAACCACTTAAAATAACCAAGTCTGTTCAGGTTGCCTAAGCAGTGTCCCATTCATGAACTGATCATTTGACAAAGGACTGAATTTAGTAGGATGTCCCCTAGTTAACTGGTCACAAATCAGCCAGGAAGCATCCGCAGAATGCTGCATCCAGGATCCATCAATGTCACCGTCTGCTGCCCAGGATATGATTTTTGAAAAACAACTTGCTAAGTTTTAAAGGGTCAGGCAGTCACCACTGACAGCAAATAAAGCTTTTTTTCTTGGGAACCAAGTATGTAGCTTGACAACAGTTGCCACAACTCCTACCACTGCTGGCAGAC